CCATTTGAAACAAGATAAATGGTCTATGCTTAATTTCATGAAGTGTGCGATTAACCACAGAAAACTGTGTGATTAATTACATAAAAAAAAAAATAAATATATATATATATATATAACTTTTTATTTATTTTTTTATTAACAGCAAATCAAGCAAGGTTGTATTCAAGGTCTGCCAGCCTAGAGACAGTAGGGGAAAAAAGCAAGACACAAAGACACACACACACATACACACAGAGTGAGTGAGTGAGTGAGTGAGAGAGAGAGAGAGAGAGATCAATCGAGCTCCACACACCAAGAATATATCAACCACTAAACCAACACATGGTAATGTCAGATTATTTTGGGGTGGGAGAGAGGGAAAACAACAGTCCATAAGTGGATCGAGAGCCCCATCAGCTCAAAGGCATCACAGGCACGCGCATCTCTCAGCTGGAGCGCATCATCTGTCCATTCCGCCACTCACTCACCGCGCGTGATATGTGAAGGTGTAACGCTCATATGTGTGATTTGTCCATGTCCCGAGACCCGAAATATCTGGACGAAATGCTTTCAATAAGGTGGATTGTTGGAGATTTTGTATGGAGGCAGCGGGACACCTCCCCATAGTTCGACGTAGAGTCTCTCTGAAGAGTGCGCGAGAGACCGACACCAGAGTTGCCGCGGCACGGATTGAGGACCATCTGCTGATTTTCCCCAACAATCTGTGTTTTAGAGGGATAACCGATTCTCAAACGCGTCAGTTTCTGGCAATAAGAGCTTTTAGAGCTTTTCTGGATAACATACTACAATACTGCTTGTTTCGTGCGGGTCGCTGAGAGCTGAACTACACCACCAGGTGCCCCTGCTTAATCACTGGACGACAATTAATACGGCAGAATGTGTTTCTCTCCTTTTGGACTGCTCTCAATTGCATCTAATGAAATATTTGCTCGGGACCACACAGGATGAAATGGACATCAGCACTGCAATAAATTAGCCAAACTGAAATTCAGCGAGAAGTCTCATCTGAGCTATAGGAGTACATACATTTATGTATTCTGATTAAATCAGACAACGTTTGTTAGATCGCCTGGCATCTCACTGACTGTGTGAAGTCTGGAATACAAGAATAAATGAACCTGAGTGGACAGACAGAGAATTAACAATATCCAACATGTTTAAACGGGGTAAGTGCAATTTAGAACTTTTATTCCTGCTGTTTTTAAATAGACATAAGTTATACTTAAATATTTCCCCTTTAAAAATAAATAAATAAATAATAATAATAATAAAAATGAGAATAATATAATCTTGTGCTGAATCACTGCATGCTAGTTTTATTTAATTTATGATTTTTTACAAATAATGAATAAAAAAAATACATTTATTTTATATTAAATTTATTTTCTATTTGAGCTGTTCTTCATTGAAAATGTACTGTTTTTATCATAAAGATGCTTGCAGTATTTGCAAAAACGATGAAGTGTTATTGTTATATTTATTTCTTTATTTTGAAAAAAAAAAAGATGCTTGAAATGGAAAATGACAGAGGTTTTTATATATACAAAAAACAAAGATGCGTGTTGCAGAAGGTGTTGAAAGTTTATGTAGCAGGCTGTTACGTTGTTACAGCTCTCATCCATGATCATTTTTCCAGAATCATGTGTAACCGCCCCCGGGTAAGCTCCGCGTAAAGCAGATGTGTTTAAAATATTCATCAACATATCATGAAATATTTTCTTAAGATGCTAGTGGTGGGTGCCGCACTGCAGTTTATGGCCAGTTTTTCATCAGAAAGCATTGTGCTGTCTTCCTGGCTCCAATATATTTCTCTTGGTGGCTTAAACAGGTTTGGCTCAGACAGTCTGTCACATTTATTTATGGACAATGTTTATGATCAAATGATGAAGTGTAAGGAGTGAATGATAAGTCGATAGATTAACTGGTTAGTGCTGAAGCTGTCAGTGGGAGACACTTGAATGACCTGCAGATTATTGCAAAGACTGGTCAGTTTGTTTTCACTAGATCGGTGGTTGTCAGTCCTGGTTCTTGAGTACCAAAGCAGTTGAACCTTATTTAACACACCATCAGCTCATTAGTAGAGGCTCCAGGACCCGAACAGGGTGTGTCAGATAAGGGAGACATCTAAAATGTGCAGTGACAGGATCAGAATTGACCACCACTGCACTAGATCAAATCATACATGGTTAAACAGATCAGAAATATGATCTTACTGCCCAGTGTTTATTAGGACATTTCCCTTGCCCCATTTACTGCACATTTAATTGTCTCCAGACCTTTTGCATGGCACTATCACAGACGCTCAAGCTCTCAGGTTGCTGACTGCATAACCATATAGTGAGTCAGTCTGGAAAACCGAATTTCCTCGGAGGAGGCCCAAAGCTTAATGCAGAGACAATTGTTATTTCAAAAGACTTGGAGTAGGAACAAAACACACCCATCAAGCCCCTCACAGCACACTAAAGACCTCTTATGAATGCCTGTGAGGAGCCTGTGGTGCAGATATGAGAACAGTGGGTTGGTTTTGAACTGATTTGGGTCTGATTTTCATTTACCTCAAAGTACACTGCTACAGTGTAGTTTTGCAGTATCTTTTTTTTGGAGATATTTGGTCTCGCATATTTTGGGACACACTGTATTCATTTCTTTTATAATTCTGCAGAGTTGTAACTGCAGATGAAAAGTTTTTGTGAATATTACAAACTACCATTCAAAAGTCTGGGGTCAGTAAAACTTTCAGATTTAATTACGATTTAAAAGAACTGAATTTTCAGGAGCCATTACTTCAGTGTCACATGGTCCTTCAGAAATCATTCTAATATGCTGATTTGCTGTTCATAAAACATTTCTTCTTATTATCATTGTTCAAAACAGTTGTGCTGCTTAATATTTTTGTGGATTCTTTGATGAATAGAAAGTTCAATATATATATATATATATATATATATTGTAGCCCAATAACAGTACTGAGCAGGTGCAGGCTGGAAAGTTTGTCTCTAGTTACTCTGTATTTCAGTCTGGGGGTGTCTGTGGTGATGAGTGAAGGTCTCAGAAATGGGGAATATGAGCAGCTGTGCAGGAGAGTGGTGTCAGGCCACAGGTGTTCCCTCTTTTGCTTACCAACTGTCGCTCTCCTTTCCCATCCATCTGCCCATAACAATGCTGTCTAGGATCATGTTTGAATACCTAGTTTCTCCACTCACAGCTGTGTAATCATAGCTCATCCACAAAAGAGTTATTTCTCTCATTTCATTGCAGAGGTTTTGCAGGGAAAATCTTTCTGGTTTGACTGCAGGTGTGGGATGTGTCTGATTTTTTTGTTTGTCGGATGTAGATTTCTGGGCCTGACAATGTTTCAATGCTGACTTTTAAAACGAGGCCATTCTCTATACTGATAACTCAGCACAACAAACCAATTATGGTCTGAAGCACTGTTTTCAGATAAGCATCTGAAAACTGAATATAACATGTCGCATCATATACATGTTTCAATTTAAATACCTGTGAGGAATTGTGAAGTGCAAGCAGAAGATAGAAAGAAACAGAGAGACAGAAACGTACGAGGTAGGATAAGTGTGGCTGCTCTTTTTTATCTTAGGCCAGCCAAGACCAAAACATGCCTGTGTGTTTGGGGGGAAATCAAGGAAGAAATTTTAGGAAATTGGACCTCTTACTAGTAGAAACAGCACAGCCCTGCTGAGACTGGCACACAGGGCACTACTACACAACCAGTTAGGCCAGACATTTCTGGAAAATGTCATACTAATGCATATCATCTGATAAATTCAGTATTTTCTCACTCTTATCTATTTATGCGTCATAGACACAACAGAAAGCTGCAGAATTTTTCATAATTTCTGATGCACTTTGAAATGAAAGGCCAATTAATACCCAACAGAGCAAAGAAACCTCATTAGCCTAAAAGCAACTCATCTGACTTTTAAAAACAATTTTTCTTCATAATTGTAAAAAAAAAAAAAAAAAAAACGATGACTTTTAAAACGAGGCCATTCTCTATACTGATAACTCAGCACAACAAACCAATTATGGTCTGAAGCACTGTTTTCAGATAAGCATCTGAAAACTGAATATAACATGTCGCATCATATACATGTTTCAATTTAAATACCTGTGAGGAATTGTGAAGTGCAAGCAGAAGATAGAAAGAAACAGAGAGACAGAAACGTACGAGGTAGGATAAGTGTGGCTGCTCTTTTTTATCTTAGGCCAGCCAAGACCAAAACATGCCTGTGTGTTTGGGGGGAAATCAAGGAAGAAATTTTAGGAAATTGGACCTCTTACTAGTAGAAACAGCACAGCCCTGCTGAGACTGGCACACAGGGCACTACTACACAACCAGTTAGGCCAGACATTTCTGGAAAATGTCATACTAATGCATATCATCTGATAAATTCAGTATTTTCTCACTCTTATCTATTTATGCGTCATAGACACAACAGAAAGCTGCAGAATTTTTCATAATTTCTGATGCACTTTGAAATGAAAGGCCAATTAATACCCAACAGAGCAAAGAAACCTCATTAGCCTAAAAGCAACTCTGACTTTTAAAAACAAATTTTCTTCATAATTCTAAAATCCAGCACAGTTATTCCATCTGATGGCCTTATAATTTGTGCTGCTATTGATAACTGTTGGCAAATCTAGATCCATTTTGTTGATGCCAATTTACAGATCGTATTTGAGACCGAGGGTGAGATGTAAGATGACTGTTTTCAAACAGGTTTCTGAAAGACACACCTTTGTTCGGCCAAACATGGACAAGTCCCAAGATGCACACCGCTGGTTGAGCCAGTGAGCCACAGTGTTTATTATAGCTTATACTTATAATTGTCACTTTACAATAAACTGGAATAGGAATAAATATTTTAACATTGAAAAAGTGACACACTTCACATTTAACACTTAAATGTTTACCGCAATCAGCCTTCAGCTTCATTTTTTCATGTTTTAACAGTGACAGTTGGGTTCCGGAAGTAAAAAGCCCATTCATTTTCTCCATAGGGGAATTGATTTTTAACAGTAACTTCTAAACCTTTAAAGGCAGTCCTTCTGTGAGCTACATGGTTGTTTATTGATGTTATATGCTTTTGTTGAAGCTGTTAGTCTGCATGATTTCAAACTGTTTTTGATGTTTAACAGCTGAATTCCTGGTGAAAAACTACATTCCTCTTGATTATGCAGTGAAATCTCGACCAATCAGAGAATCTCAACTAATCTCGCCTACTCCAATGAAGCACTGCAAATTACTTTTTTAAACTGATTGTCAAACACTCAAGGGAAGTATAGTCTTGTACCTTTGTCTTTTTTTGTCAGATTTTCAAATACTTTTTTTGCTTGAAATTGAAGGTTGTAATGTTGTGATTCACCTTGTAGCTGGTTGTAAAAATAAAACTTTTTAAAAACTCCTATGCGAAAAAATAAATGGAAATAAATACTTCCAGAACCAAGGCTGCTGAAAAAGTGGGCGGGCACTGTTGCACTCTATGGCATGACCTTCTGGAATACTTGATTCTGATTTGTCAATCGCGCCATTTTACGATCTGATATTTCCTAATTATGACCATCATCCACATATTGGATATACTCAAACAGGCGCTATGTTCATGCCTCTCGTATAACACCGCCGACTTGCTCTCTCATTTCAAACAAACATAACTGTTGCCCTCTTGCCTCTGTTATCGAATGTAGTGAAAATTACCTCAGAAGACTTAAGTATTGTTACTGTAAGATTGTCTTGTTGCTAGTCTGATTGTTTTGTACGTTGTAATGAACTGAACTTTTTTTTCTTGATAATATGCAGGTAAAATTACAGTATAAAATAATTCTACTCAATGACTGTAGAGTCCCCAGTTTAGGTCAAATATACACATATTATTTTTTACTCAGAAACACTAAAAAGTTAGCAAATTTTTTTTTTGGCTAAAGATACTGTTTGATCAAACTTGCTTTTTAGGAACTCACCTTAAGTAAAAGACATTTTTTGAGCTCAGTGTAATTCAGTAATTTCAAGTAGTAATACACAGGCTCTGATCACATCACTGGACTTCAATTACCATACAGTTATGAAACATGCCTCAGATCTCTCTGCATGCCAAACAGCTCATTTCCTGAAGGACACTCACTGAATGACAAAAGGATGAGCACA